GCGTGACTATCCCCCCTGGGGGGTGATTTCTCGCTTTCTGTCTCTCTGTCTTTCTGGCGAGTGCGCGCGCCCTGTAGCAAAAACCTCTCTCTCAAAAAAAAAAAAAGAATTATTGATTTATTATTATTATTATTATTATTGTTAATATTATTTTTCACATGAATTTTGCCAGAGAGGGAGCGGGAGAGTGAGAAAGCAAGCCGCCAGGTTCGGGACTCAAACCATGGCCGGCCATGTGGGAATTCCAGCACCTTAACTACCATGCTGCCCGCTGGCCCCCATTTTGGCTTTTCTAAGCTCAGTTTTCTCATCTAAAGTACTGTGGATAATAAAAACCTGCTGTTTGAGGTTACTGAGAATCAAATGCTCATTTAATACAGCATCTATGATGCAACAAGTCCTTCACAAACAAAGACTGTGTTACTTTTAAAATCAGTAGCTGTAAGGTGTATGTTTTCCTTTTCATTTCAGTCATGCGGTCTGGAGACACTAAAGCCATTTACTTTCCATATTTGTCTAAAGTTAACTTTCTTTCCTGATTTTCAGGTTACCTCACTGAGCTGGACTTTCTTCTCTCTGCTCCTGGCAGTGTTCCCACTGATGCCGGTTGTAGGTCGAAAGCCAAATCTCTCGCTAGTGTATGAATAATATTTTATTTTATTTTATTTTCAGTACAATTTTTTTCTCGCTCAACACTACGAAAGTGAACCTAAACTTGGCCAAGAGCTTAAAATCATGTGTACAAGCAGAAAATTAAAATACTGCATCTATCAGTCGTGATTTCGACCTAGGCTGTAGGGGTCATTAAGGCTACCCAGAGATGCTTCCAGGCCTTCACGGACAATGAAATCATGCCAGTCACTTAAAATGTCAAAAAATAAAAATAAATAAAGCCTGGGAGGTTTTTCTTTTGTATATCGAGTGAGTTTTAAACACCGCTGTGTTACCCCTTACATTTGCCTTTGAGCGTAGTCGCACCAAAATGTTTTAGAACAATGAACTGTTCTCCTGTTCCATTCTAAATGTAAAGATCTCTGTGGGAGAAAGCTATGTACCTAGACAACCTCCTCACATACAGTCATTTGAATTGTTTGAAAATTCTTCTGGATACCTTCCCTGAATTCTCCCTTCTCCTGGTGTTTATTTCTCTTTAAGGCCCTAAAACTCTCTAAAGCAACTGGTTTCCTTTTGTATAAACTATGTTTTTAAATTATTTTCAGTAGTCTAGCTACTACTAGTTTTGTGTGTTTGTGTGTGTGTGGGGGGGTGTGTGTGTCTATGCCACACGTGTGCTTGGCAAGCTAAATGATCATTATATCATTTAATGTTTCCTTTCTTAACAATGCTTACAGACTTCAGAAGAAAGTAACAAGATGTTTACATTCTTTTCTAACAGTTACCATTTTCTAATAATCTAATCTTTGTTACTTTCTTTTGAAGTCTGAAAGCATCTTTTCAAACATTTTATCTTTTAAAAGGTGAAGAGATGTCTTTTAAAATTTTTTTTTTGGTATATCTTTTTTAACCAAAAGAAGTTTAACTAAGTATTTTTTTTTAAGTATGTGGAAATTTATGAGGTTCTATACATTTTTTCTCATTTGTGCAAGAATACCAGTATAAAATAGATCAGGAATTATCCCATGAATTCAATTTATTAGCAAAAACCAAAACGTATGGAGATCTAAAAGCTTACTATTTAAGCTATGATTTATTAAAGTGTTACTAGGTCAAAACATCTTGCAACTGTCATAAACTATAAATAGTGTATGAATAAGTGAATTTGATGTTTTCATTTATTGTGTCTTCGGGTCAGCTCTCCCATTGTCTCTGTAAAGCCCCTTTTCTTCTTTACATCAGTCGTTGCCTGTTGGTCCTGCTCAAGCAGTACTGCATAGCTGAGCAGAATTTGTCATGTACTAAAAGGAGAAAAGATCGTGCAAATGATCTCCAAAGAAATTTCCCATTTGTGTATTTTATTAAAGATGAACACTAGAAGCAAATAAACTTGTTAAAATACGAGAAATCTAGTTAAAATGCGAGGAATCTAGAAAACATCAAGGTCAATGACGGAAGAGCTATTTGTCCTGCTAGAAATAATATGGATTATTAATGTATATCCTTTTCGTATGGGTTGTGCTCATGGCCACACAATGTAAGTTAAAGAAACTTATGATGCATTTGTTTAGCTATCTTTTATAATGTTTTCCATAAATTTATCGAATTCGCACTAAGAATTATGATAGTTGGTTTGCATAAAAATTTCAAAATCAAGCTATAGAGATGAAGTAAAGATACCTTAAAAATTACGAGGTGACAAATGGTCCATCCTTACAGTTGTTTTAAGAATTTCATATTATGCCTCTGTATATTATTACTTTATCTTGATTACTCCAGATGACTAAAAGATTCTACATTAAAATGTTTCCCATGATGTATTTGGTAAACATCTCAATAAAATTTTACATGGTGAATTGTCTTTTAAAACAGAATGGGAGCAGGCTTGCTGGTTCTTCTGCTATCCCTGTTTGCTGTAACATCTCTCAGGAAAAGAAAAGATAGTTTTGTAAAGGAACAGCTATTGATATATCTACTACAGGTCAGTTATAGATTTTCAATACTATCTAATACTAATGACATACTAAAATATATCTTGTAGTTGTCATTAATTTTCTTCTTAACAATACCATTGTGTTTTTGTCACTCAATATCTACTAGTTAATAAAGTTTCTGTTTAAACTAGTACATGGAAACATGTTCTCCAAAAGGTATAACCTAGCAAAAAGGTCAAGTTGCAACCCAAAGTCACCAAGAGTTCCAGGGTGTTAAAGAGACCAAGCTGTCCTTACCAACTAAAAAGTGGAGCTCAAAAGAGCTTCCTCTTGACCAAGATTCCATATTATCCTCATCGAAAAGGCCTGCTTCTTTGAAGTGAAAGCATCCTGAGATATGTTTATATGAAGAACAGCCAGTTTAAGACTTCAGATGAAATCCTAGGAAAAAGTAAACTTCAGCTTGGTTGGTGGCGTTGGTGCAGTGAAAAGGCTTTGCACTTGATGTTTCAAAGCTGAGTCAATTCCTAGTAGTACTGCATACTCTGAATAGATGTGTGGCTTTTGGTAATTGGACTCGAGTTTGCTTTGAATCTGTAGAGATAATATCTAACCACTTGTGAGAGCTAGAGATTATATGATGTAATCTATAAAATTATAACTTTTTGTAGGTAAGGCTGGAAGCTACTTTTTTTTTTTTTCTTTTAAGTGAGTGAATAACTAAGTAACCACATCTGAAACTTTGGTCCAAAACAAAACTATATCAGTCTTCTCAAAAAATTTCCTTAGAACAAAGCTGGGGTTATAGAAAATATTTCCAAAAACACGCTGAAATAAAAATATGCCACAATTGATATAGCAAGTTAAAATCATTCTTGGAGAACAACAGAGAACCTATAAAAAGAGAAGAAATATGTTGTCAACAGTCCCGTCAAACCACTAAAATGTGTTTCATTTTACATGATACAGTAATGGGCTTCACACTAAAGCCACAGCAGCTTCGACAGAACCCTCCTTCATATATAATAGCGAGTACGTTAACAGAGTGGTAGTCTCTGAATCATACTCTAGAGGACCAAGGGACATCATGCGAAAACTCTTATGTGCTTTGTTAGAAAAACACCCGAGTAATAGGTGACTCTGTTACAAAATTCCTTTTTGCTTTGGTTTTATTAATTTGTACGAATTCCTCTACTGCCTACCGTATTTCATCGATTCCAAGATAAACATTTTTTCCTACTTCAGAAGGTCCCTATTATTCAAGTTTATTTATCTGTTTCTTCCATGATCAAGAGAGACACAAAGAGATTATCTATTTCTTCCCTGAGCAAGAGAGACACAAAGAGAGAAAAAGAGAGACAGCATCCCCCGCAGGGACCTGCCACCGTAGTCTACTCCAGCTTCAGCCATCCCAAATCGTGGGCACACCTGATGTGGCATACTCAGAGAAGTCTCCAGATGTGAATTCAGAACCCCCCTGAAGTGGGTCAGCTTCAAGAGCTTAGGTTTTACCACTGCAGCACTGTCTGACTCCCTGACTGTTTTAACATCTCTGAAGTTCGAATGTATCAAACTTGAAAAGATGCTAGGTTTGTGTCATAGTTTGATTGATAGCATTTTTACTTCTTAATTCACCAAAAATGTAAGAGTAAATTAAATATAATTCTAGGATTTGATGATAAGGGTGCTAATCTGATCTCAAAGGGTGCTTTGTTCACATTTCTTAATATTTTTTAAAGATTTATTGATTTAATTTAATTTAATTTATTTATTTTTTTTATTTGACCTGAGAGAGACAGAGAGAGAGTGAAAGGGAAAGTAAGAAAGCAAGCCACCAGCTCAGGGACTTGAACTGTAGTCTGCCATGTCAGAATCCAGTGCTTTAACCACCACCCCACCTGTGGGCCCCCTCTAATTTATTTTCTTAAAATGGCAGTTCATTTTCTAGCTCTGACTTCAACGAACATTTTTTCTAAAATGTCAGATAGTAAATATTGGGTTGTTGGAAAAATCACCACACATTTTTGCATAGAAAAAATACATGACTTTTCCGACAACCCAGTATTTTAGGCGGATAGGTAATACGGAGTCTGTTGCAGATTTTCAATTCTACCATTGTAATGCAAAGTGGGACAGCATGTAAATGAGTGAGAGTAACTATCTTCCAGTAAAACAGTATGTGTAAAAATGGGCTTGCAGGGGCCAGCAGTGGCTAAGGCGCCGGATTCTCACATGACTGACCGCAGTTTGAGTCCCAGACCCAGCAGCTTGAGAAGCACTGGGTGCGTGCATGCCTGAAATCCTGAGGGGAATCTGGATTGTGGTGTGGCCATCCCCCTGGGGGTTGATTTCACATTTTTCCTTCACTCTGTTGCTCTCTGGCAAATGTACACACCCTATGGCAAAAACCTAAAAAAAGAAAGGAAAAGAAAAGAATATAGGCTGCCAGCCTATAACGGAAGTTTAGCAACTTTTATGCTCGTTTATACATATTCTCTGAAGAGTTTTGTACTTATAGTCCCAGTGTGAAGTCAGTAGTCAAAACACAAGAATATGTTGAATGAGTAAGTGGATATTACGGTGAGCAGGCTGCAGAGATGGAAGGCACTAAATTATAAACGCCAAACTGCGTACCGTTACCCTCTTTATTTCCGAGTTAAGGAAACTTCAACCCTTATAAGGAATAGAAACAGTGTGATAACACCCTTGCCCAAACACTCTGGATAGTGTAAAATGTCTCCTTTCATGCTCGTAGAGGAGGACCTTTGCTTGGCGTTGAGAGTACTGATTCTTAGCCTTGGCCGAAGGAAGGCCAGCTAGCCCAATTTCTGTAGCACTTTGGCCAGATTCCAGTTTATCCCAGCAGTTTTCTAAGCCTTTTTCTAGTATGTGGCTTCTCACCACCTTCTCTTTTATTTATCTGTTTCGTCTTGCTTTCAGATGCTGAGCACAGTGCTTTCCCTGTATGTCGTGCATAGCACTCACAGCAGCCTGCTCCAGAAGCGGGGGCTGCCGCTGCCGAATCAGATCCTTAGCTGGGCGACGTTAGGTAAATGAGCTAACTTTCCATCAGGATGGTTGTCTTCAGTGATCCATTCCTGTCTGTATTATTGTTATTGGAAGAAATCGTTCATTACAGGAAAGTGGTAATAACCGGTTATTATTTATGTCTCCTGTCAGAATTTGACAAAGAAGATTAGAAGTCTTGTTAGCATATCTATATTAATAAGAATTACTTAAAAGAATATTTAGGACTTGAAAACCCTGTGTATTTCTTAACATCTGATAAAAATTCCCTGCATGCTTGCCTAAGAGATAAGGGTTTTGTGAAGAGGATCTTGTGTTTAATTTTCATGTCAATTCATAAACTCTCGGTTCTTACACAGGGAACTAGGAAACAGTTAAATGTTATCTGTGTTTTCCTTCCTGAAAGTTACATCAGTTAGTCAACTCTCAACACATTACACATTTTATAAAGTTAGCTAAATGTTTCAAAGGTTATTCTTTATGTATAGAGATTGTTATTTTGAAATGTTAGGATGTATTTGTAGCAGACATATGCAATTTAAAGTAACTAGTCTTTCCCTTCCAATTGGATGAGAAGAGCAAGTTGTAAATTGAAGTTTTCCATTTTAATAAGACACTTTGTGAGGTCAGCTCCATAGTGTAGCAGTGAAGCACTGTACTTAGAAAGCCAGATCCCACATGGCCTACTGCTGTTTCAATCCCACTCTGATGGCTCGGGAAGCACGCTGGGTGTATGCATGTGCATGTGTGTACCCCAAAGCCTAATGGGGTGAAGTGGAGGAACAAGGATTAAGGTGTGACCAGGCCCTGTTGGAAATGGGTGGGGGGATGCTTTCTGTCTCTCTTTCTCTCTTTCTCTCTCTCTCTTCGGCCAGTGAGGGTGCTCTCTGGCAATTGAAAAAAAAAATTGACAACTTACAATGCCTCAGCATGATTTGACATACATCTGTTCAAAGATCCTTTTGATATTTGTTGTTCATCGTTTGAAAGGATCTTTGAACAGAACTTCACCTTAAAAGGGGGATTATTTTGTGATAGGAGCATTCTTCTTTGTATTTCTCTTAAAGCCCAAGCAGAAGCTTAAAAATAGAGCAGGAATCAGACATGTATCTCCTAAAATTTTGATTTGTCCACTTTCCAAACTACTTGGTGAGTCTTTTAGGTGAGTATGTATTTGGACAATAATTTGCTGTCATCACATTTATACATATAAATACACACACACAGAGACATATTTTTAATGGATATTTTGCAGGCCACCTTCCCCCCTTTTTTTCTCATATTAATTTTGTTTATTTCTTCCATGAGTGAGAGACACAGAAACAGTATAGAGAAAGAGAGACAGAGAAAGAGAGAGAGAGAGAAAGAGAGAGAGAGAGAAAGAAATGATCCCAAACTGAGTCTCAGCACCACAGTCTGTCCCCAGCCTTTAGCCAGTCTCAGATTATGAGCAAGTATTTTTTTTTTTTAAGAGAGATTCTTGCTATAGGGTGTTTGCACTTGCTAGAAAGACAGACCAAATGCGAGAAATCACCCCCCAGGGGAGGGAATGGCCTTGCCACAATTCTTTCTCCTCCATTCTCTTGGGATTTTGGGCGTGTGTACACACACATGCACACGCACCACACACACACAGTGGGAGTTTTAAGCCACCAGGTCCAGGACTCGAACTGAGGTCGACTACGTGGGAGTCCAGTGCTGTAACCATTATGCCGTCTGGTGGTCCCATGAGTGAGCCTTTGTTCAGTGTATTCAGAGGTTTCTGGACTTGAAGTGGAAACCTCCCCTGTGATATCACCTCTCAGAGCATGTTTGCTGCTGTGCTACTGCTGGCCTCCACCTTTTCTTTTAAATTCTCTTGAGTGGTAGAACTACTGTCTAATTCATTCTGCATGGATGGTATGAATGACTGCTCCCTCATATTAAAATTCTGTTGTCTGGAACTTGTATTCTATACGGTAAGAGGGAGTAATGTTCCAGTGGATGATTTTGTACTGACCTGTCATATGATGTCTCAGAGTCACAGAAAACCCAGTGATTATGAACAGGAAATAGAATATTGAAGTGAAGTCTTGGTAAGACCCCGCACAACTTCACAGCCATGCAGTCACATGCAGCCACATCAGCAGATCAGCAGTACCGGCAGATAAGCGATAGAGGGTGGGTTGTGCCTAAGCGGCAGCCCAACACTGCTCTCCACGTTGTCCTTCCTTTATTTTTTTTAAAGAATTATTTTATTAACTTTAATATTATTATTTTTTAATTTGGCCAGAGAGGGAGAGGAGGAAAGTGAGAAAGCAAACCATCAGGTCCGGGACCTGAATCACGGTTGGCCATGTAGGAGTCCCGCATCTCCAACCACCATGCCACCTGCCGGCCCCCTTTCTTTGTAGCCTGACTCAGCTCCTTAAGAAATGACCACAATGAAGAAGAAAAATTAATAGGCCTTGTTCACATAGCATTAGATCTAATTTTTAAACTTTGAAAACTTCTGTAAGGGTTAAGAAATAGAATATTAAAAGAATTACAGAAAGCCATGCTTTACTTCGTATGCTTAAGTCTTATCTGAGTGTTTAAGTGCGTGTAGTATATTTAAGTGTGTAGATAAATTTTTAAACAATTGATTCAGTAGTATTTTATCTCTTTTTATTTTTTCAATTCATCTTTAATTTTTTGAGTTGACCTAGTAATTACCTGTATGGCATTTTTCTTTTCCTTACCTTCTATGCTATTGAAGAATTTGAAGAAGACAGCCACCACCCCCATACACTGTTACCTAATTCGTGTCTGTCAGATGTCTCCTTGTAACTAAGTTGAGATTCTGCCGTAGTGGCCAGAATACGATATAACAGTGCTGCCTCCATCCTTAGGATCAGATCTGGATGCTCATAATCTGCCCCTCACTGACGATGTGGCTTTGATCACCACGTTCAAGGTGTTGTCCAGTTTTTTCACTGAAGATGTTCTTTTCCTGCCTCTGTTGCAAACTAATAAGCTCTCAGTGGAGAGATACTATAAGATCCTCAAATACCCTTCTTGCCAACATTTCCCCTAGGTTTACAACCCATTTATAATTATTTTCTGATGCAGTCTTTGTCATGATGTCTACAGAATGGTGATTTTCCAGTTTTTGTTTGTTTCAGGCTTTTTTTTTTTTTTTTTTTTTTTTTTGGGGTTTTTTTTTTAGTGCGCGTGTGCTCGCCAGAGAGAGACAGAGAGATAGAAAGCGAGAAATCACCCCCGGGGGGGATGGCCATGCTGCATTCCCTTCTCCTCCATTCTCCTCTCGGGATCTTGGGCACGGGCACGCACGCACACGCACCCGGCGTGAGTTTAAGCCACTGGGTCCGGGACGCGAACCCCGGTCGACTACATGGGAGTCCAGCGACATAGCCATTATGCTAACTGCTGGTCCCTGTTTCAGGCTTTTGACATAGGGTGCATATGCTCACCAGAGAGAGGCAGTGCGAGGGAAAGTGAGAAATCACCCCCCAGGGCCGTGCCACAGCCCCTCCCTCTCTATTCTCCTGAGAATGGGGCATGCTCACACATTGCCCAGCATTCTTTACAGCCCTCTGGTCAGGGCGGACTGTACAGTCAGCCATATGGGATCCAGCTGTCCCAACTACCAGGTCACAGGCTGTACCTAAGGACCATTCTTGTATTTCTTTTGGAGAATTATCTATTCATGTCTTTTCCTTGTTTTTTTCATAGGATTTTTGGTCCTTTTCTTCCTGTTTTTTAAAGCTCTTTATAAGTTAGGGATATTAGCCTTTTACCCATGAATATGTTACAAAGTTTTTTGTCATTTATCTTTTGACTATGCTTATTTTATTTATGATCATGCAAAATATTTTTATTTTATGTTATCAATTACCTTTTTAAATGTATCTTGAAATTTAATCATTGTGAGAAAGTCTTTTGTGATACCTTGGTTATAGAGGAATCTGTTTTTTCAATACTTGTGTAGTTTCAGTTTTACATTTCAATGCTTGATCTACTTAGTTTATTTTTACAAATAGCTTAAGGGATGGTCTAGTGTTTTTTTCTTCCAGATGGCTATCCAGCTATCCTAATTTTACTTATTTATAAAGAATGTATTTGCCCCAGTGGTTTGAAATAGCATTTTTATCATACATGAGACACACTGGTCTGTTTCTGGGCTTTCTGTTCTACTTCATTGAGCTCTCTCTTCATAGACAAGTAGCACTGTTTTAGTTAGAGACTTTTTAGTACATTTTAATACTAATGTAGTATTTAATACTGAACTTCAGGTCGATATTTTAATTTTAGAAATAGCTCATAGGATTTTTATTGCGATCACATTAAATTTACAGATTAATTTAGGGAAAACACATTTTGACCTTGGGTCATGTAGCTTGTAACCAAGAACAAGCATTGTCCTTCTACTTGTTCAAGTCTATTTTTGAGCCTCCAAAAGTACAGTTTCATAATCTTCTTCATATAGACGCACAAATGCGTGAGAGGGAAAGTACCCCCAGTGGGGCCTGGCCACACCGCAGTCCATTTCCTTCCAGTCCTCCATCCCATCAGGTTGTTCTTGGGCATGTGCACATGTGCCCTGCATGGTTCTTTGTTTTTCCCCAAGTTGTCAGGGCTGGGACTTAAACTCTACTCAGCCATCGGATTCCACAGCCTCCATGCCGCGCTTAACGACTGAGTACAGGGCAGCCGGCTGAGGTTTCTCATGTCTTACAGAAGGAAGTAGAGCAAATATAGCCTCATTTAAAGGTCACACAAACCATAAATGCCATAAAGCATAATAGATTACTCAGGGCTTTTAAGCTAGCATACTTGGTGTCTCTTTTATTGACGAATCACCTGGTGTGTTTTTTGCAGCATCGTCCTTGGTCGTGCCACTTCTGAGCTCTCCGATCCTCTTTCAGCGATTGTTCAGCATTCTTCTTTCCTTGATGTCAACCTACCTACTTCTAAGCACAGGGTATAAACTTTTTAAAATTTAAGAGTTTAAAGTACCAAGTTTTAGATGATGTAGTGACATTTTCTCTGTTAGTTTTTAATCTTGAGAATGACGATGCTTTGTAAATCTTGTAGGATAAATCATGAATATTTTGTACTTTGTAAGAGCTGTGTATGACTTGAGCCATAACCTTTGTTTTCTTTTTCTTATCATTTTCATAGTCTCGTCTATAGTCTTTTCCTCCTGTTTATTTCCTAATGTTGCTAACAATTCATTTAATTATGGTTTGAAAATTCTGATTGATTATGGAGGAATTTTAAGTCTCTGGAAAGATTTTCAATTTTTGTTTTATTCTTTTCATGCATTTTAACTCGTGCTTTTATTTGTTTATTCTTTTATTTTAATTTTAAAAATTCCTATTCTTAACATATGTTATAGTCCAAATATTTCTTTAATTCAGGGATTTTTCAGAGTATTGCCCCCACAGTTAAAGAATCCACTTTTATTTAAGATTGAAATTTTATTAAAGACAAAATCCAGCAGCTCTTTTTGGGGAACATTCTAAAACATTCCGTAGAACTCAGTGAAGACAGTATTATACTCTGCTCATTTATTTTGAAGAAAGGAATTCTTCTCTTGCTTTTGAATTTTATTATATCCTTGCTTAAATCCTTTGAGGGTAAGAAATGTACACTTTCTAACAATGAATAGAACACACAGATTGAACAAATGCCACTCTAGACAGTTTAAGTTTTGACATAAATTTGAATCGTGATCCAAATTAAACTAAACCCAAGGAGTTATCATCCTGATTATACTAACACAGATTAATCACTGCACAGGATTTCATAAAGCCATTGTGTGTCTAAGGCTTGGTTTTACTTTTTAGGAAACTTATTTGTCCTGATTCTAGATTACAGAGCTAGTCTTGAAACCCTTTTGCAGTAGACCTTAATGTTTTAAGTGATCTACAAGAGTGCTTGTAGTCTCCAGAGAGTAAGTGGTTCTGTGGGGTGCTAACCTCCTTCTCTCAGCTCCCCACACTTCCTATCTTTTTTTTTCCTTCTTGCCTAACCAGATGTGAGCCACAGATGTGAAGATGCAATATAAGCATCATGGAAAATTTTTTTGATGACCTAATAAATTTTCAATGGGCTTGCTTTGAGATTCAGAACTGTAAAACTTTCAAATTAAATTTGCAGTTTTGGGGGACCAACAGATGGCATGGTGGTTAAGTTGCTGGACTCCCTCATGGCTAACTGCAGTTCGAGTCCCACACCTGGCAGCTTGTTCTCTCACA